CCCCCAGATATCCCACAGAGCACACACAGCCCCCCCGTTGGTGGCGCCAAGGGGATTAAGCGTCTGGGTTGTCTGGGATCCTAGCGCCTGGCGCCGACGGCTTATCTGCCTAGGGTCCCAGAGCCCCCAGCAGGCCCTCCCCTCTTATGTCACTACACTAGAAACAACTCTGCACGATTCTCGTCCACCCCAGCAGCCTTGCCGCTACAAAGGTCCTCAACCGCCGCAGCAACTTCAGCAGCCATGATGGATCTGACCCCCCCCACCCCCAGCTGTTTCCAGGGCTGCCTCCTGAAAGGAGGGCATCTCCACCTGGTTGAGGAGCTCCTTAAAGTGTTCCTTCCACTTCTCGACTATCTCCTCAGTTGAGTTCAATGTTACGCCACCCTGACTGAGAACAGTCTGGGCCACGTCCTGTCGACCCCTCCTAAGGCGTTGGACGGTTTGCCAGAACAGAACTTTGAAGCTCCCCGCTAGTCCCTCTGCAAGGCCTCTCCAAACTCCTCCCGTACCTGGGATTTTGTTTCAGCAACTGCTACTGCTGCTGCCCTCTTGGCGATCCGGAAACCTCTCAATTGAGTTGGGAAACCTTTATCTGAGCACAGCTCGGAAAGCATCCTTCAACTTGACAGCTTCCCTCACCACCGGTGTCCACCAGTGGGTCCAAGGGTTGTCACCATGACAGTCACCAAAGTTCAAAGTTCATTTATTAGGTAGAGCCCTGTGAGCCATTCGGCTCTTGAATCGGTCGCAACCGCAACAAACTAAAAACAAAAACATGAACAAGAAAACATCTTAAAGTGACTATGTGCAAACAGAAAATCCAAGTAAAGACAGCAAAATATTGCCTTTAGGCTACAGCTGTCTGTAGCTGCATCCACAAACGAGGTCCTGAACATCATCCACTCGGACTCAATGTCTATGACCTCCCCTGGAGTGTAGGATACATTTCCTGGAGGTGGAAGTTGAAATCTTTCTGCACTGTTTCTTCCGGCAGACATTCCCAGGAAACCTACACTATTCGTTTTGGCCTTCCACGTCTATCTGGTCGGTACCCCAAGCATCGGATCCAATTTGCCACCAGGTGGTGATCAGTTTACAGCTCTGCCCTTCTCTTCACCCGAGTGTCCAGAACATACGGCCTTAGGTCCGATGATACAACTATAAAGTCAATCATTGACCTTCGGCCCAAGGTGCTCTGGTACCAAAGTACACTTATGAGCATCCTTGTGTTCAAACACGGTGTTTGTTATTTACATTCCATGACTCGCGCAGAATTTTAATAACATCTCACCATTCGGGTTCAGATCAGGGGGGTGGGGGGCATTCCTCCTAATCACGCCTCTCCAGGTATCTCCATCATTTCCCACGTGAGCATTGAAGCCACCCAGTAAGACTGTGGAGTCGGAAGGCAGCACTCTGTTGAGCACTGCACCCACCGTCTCCAAGAAGGCCAAATACTGCTGTTTGGTGCATAAGCACAGACAACAGTCAGAGCTTTCCTTTCTGAAACCCAAAGTCTCATTGAGGCAACCCTCTCATCCCCTGGGACAAACTGCAACTGAACAGCATCCAGCCGGGGGCTTGTGAGTATCCCCACATCCGCACGGGGCCTCTCACCAGGGGTTACTCCAGAATAGGAGAGAGACCACTCCCATCGAGAAGATTGGTTTCAGTGCCAATACCGTGTGTGGAGGTGAGAACGACTACGTCTCGTCGGTACCTTTCTACCTCCTCCAATCCCTCCCCCTGCAACACACCAGAATCGCATCCGCACCGCACCCTGCATCCTGCAGATGGTGGGCCCACAGGACGGCACCACGTAGCCATTTCAGGCTGAGCCTGACCGGGTTCTGTGCGTCACCCGGCCGACCAGCGCTTGCCGGAGAATACCACCACAGGCCTGGCTCCAGGGGGGTGTCCCAGTGGGGTGTCCCGGTGTACCTTGTCCGGGCGACGTTCTCTGATTTTTATTTCCCAACCAATCATAACAGGCTATATAGTGTCGTAGTATATAATAGTATAGTAGTGTAGTGTGTTATAGTGTATGTTCGTTTCGTGTGGAGTAGTGTATAATAGTGTGTAGTAGTGTGTCATGTGTATTCTGTAGTGTATAGTAGGGTGTAGTAGTATAACGAGTCTCGGACACTTCTTGTCTTTCTTCTTTATTTATTAGGGCGCAGAACACATTCCTGCAGAGGGAACTGGTAGGAACGTTGGGTTGCTCGGTCAATGGCCAGGGTCGACGGCGGCGTGGTGTGTTCCGTAAATATGCCCGACTGTGAGGGTGGGCACAAGCCGGCGTGAGTAGGTTAAACGTTGAGTTTTATAAGGGCACCACGGGGTGACCAGCCCCTCCCCACACAGCCCCTCCCCACCCTCCCCACCCAGCCCCTCCTCAACCTCCCCTCCCCACCCAGCCTCTCCCTCCCCACCCAGCCCCACCCTGCACAACGGATGGACGGACACAATAATCCCCTGTGGGCTGGTGGAACCAGTGGGTTCCTACCAGTATAACATACTCTCATATCCTACAGTACTTAGCTTTGACTAGCATACAGTACTGGGCTAGAATAACTACAGACACTTGGGCTAGGACAACACCCAAGCAATGACCGCATGGAGACAGCGACGACACAGAGACACCATTGGAACCTCATTTGCCAGTAAAAATATATATATATTTTTACCCTTCTATCTGGCAACAAAACTGACACCTTTTTTTTTTACAAGGAGTCATGTTTGCATAGACCACAATACCTGCAGTCATAATGCAAACAAAAAACACAACTCTGATCATGTATGTGCACTGTCCTTGAAGTTGATTGGTCCACACCCGAGACAGCTTTCCTTAGAGCCTAGTCTCACATGGGTTGGACCAGATGACGCCAAAAAATGTGTCAGTTTTGTTGCCAGATAGAAGGGTAAAAAAAAAAACAATTATGACACAGAGACAGCGACGGCCCATCGACAATGGCGGCATAGAACCGGTCTATCCCAAATCCCAGGGCTGCCCCTGAGCTCTCTCAGCCTCCGCCTTATATTCCTCCCCGGCGTGGCCTTGCCCCACCCTCGGCCACGCTCTCTTTCCCGAACTGGCTCAGCCAAAGCCGAACATCCCCCTATGATTCCCTCCTGTAATTATCCCTCATGACCACCTGGCCATGCACTGTCCCTATCCCCTTATTATCTCCACCCACGCACCGTCTCTCTTTTTCTGCACTGTCCCTACAGTGGCGTAGTGTGTAATAGTGTGTAGTAGTGTATATTGTAGTATATAGTAGTGTAGTATATACTAGTTGTAGATTGTAGTAATATATAGTAGTACTTAGTAATTTAGTAGTGTATAATGTCGTAGTATAGTGTGTAGTATATAGTAGTGTAGTAGTACATATGTAGTGGTCATTGTAATGTAACACGCCATCACCACTACTGCCCTGGTGTTGCGCCAGCCATGGGCCAACAGAGGGCAACAGCAAGTCCGGCCTGTGCCAGGCAACGCCGTTAAGCGCGGGAACCCAGAGGGCGGTTAGGAACCGGAAGAACACACCCCAGGCCCCCAATGGGGGTTGGGGGATTACGCAATAGTCCAGGTCCCTCAAGAAGGTTCTAGAGAGTAGGCGTGGCCAGGGTCGTTTATGCCATTTATTGTGAAAATTCTGTCACAGTTCCTATGATTGCTTTTTCATTGCTTTCATGGCTTTATTTTGGTGATTTCGAAGGGTGTGTTGGTTTGGCCATGTTTGTGTTGTTGTAGTACAGAGTTAGACTGATGGCCTTAATCTAAGTTGTCTTGTGGTTGTTGTTGTTGTTGTTGTTTGACTTGCATCCCACTGGGATTTTTACACACAGCGTTGGTGTACGGTGTTTTTTCTGCAATATTTTGCTGTCTTTTCTTGGATTTTCTGTTTGCACTTAGTCACATATTCACTTTAAGATGTTTTATTGTTCATGTTTTTGTTTGTTGCGGTTGCGGTTGCACCCGATTCAAGAGCCGAATGGCTCACAGGGCTATAACTAATAAATGAACTTGAACTTGACTCTGGCCACCGTATATAAGCCGGACCTCTGAACGGGTTGGGCTGTCGTCGTCAAGCTGAAGACCCGAAGAGCCAGCTTAGAATAGGCACCCTGGCAATCCCCGGACCCGTCGTCCATCTAAGGGCCGCGTCTGAGTGGTTCAGTGGCCGGGACCTGAGGACCTTGGCTGGGTCGGGTTAGGCTAGCCTGCCCCAGTGCCAGAGGTCGCAAACGGGTTTTGATTCTTTACCCGTACCTGTACCCGGCCGCACCAGGGTCGCAAATGGGTACCCGTACCTGTACCCGGCTGGGTACGGGTACCCGTTCCCTACCCGTACCCGTACCCTACCCGAAATGAGTGACAAACGGTTACTCACCAGTGACTCACGGCCTACCCGTACCCGGCCGCACCAGGGTCGCAAACGGGTACCCGTACCCGTACCCGGCCGGGTATGGGTAGCCGGGTATCGGGTAGGGTACGGGTATCGGGTACCCGATTGCGACCTCTGCCCAGTGCTCCTAACCAGAGGACTGAGATATAGAGTGGTCCTAGTGATAGAGAGCACGATAGACTGGAGGCTGGACTTCCCCAGGTATCAGGTGGAAGGGGCCGTTAGCCCTTCGTGTTAGGGACCATGTACTGTCATTATTATAAAAATACGTGTTGCCTTCAGTGAAGACTGGGTCTCCATCATTACCACTTCAAATATAGTAGTGTAGTGTGTATTAGTTTTTCGTAGTTTAGTAGCGTATCATAGTTTAGTAGTGTGTAGTGTATAAGTATATTTAGTAGTATATTGTGTAGTATATCGTCGTGTAGTAGTACATTTAGTAGTATAGTATATAGTAGCATAGTATATAGTAGTGTAGTGTGTAGTAATATATAGCAGTATAGTATATGGTAGTATATAGTGTAGTGTATATATATGTGTGAGTATGTAGAACTAATTGCTCTGTGGACCCCCCCCCCCCACACACAGAGGAGAAATCGACCAACTGGTGGATTTTCAGCGTCGGAGGTAAACGATGACGTCACCACACCTTCACGTGATCGCTGCTGTGACGCTGCGTGATGCTGTGTGATGATGATGCTGTGTGATGGTGATGCCATAGTGTATAGTGTAGAGTAGAGTAATGTAGTGTGTAGTTTAGAGTATAGTGTATACTGTAGTGTATAGTTGTGTGCAGTGTAGTGTATACAGTAGAGTATAATAGTGTACGGTGTAATGTACAGTGTTATGTACAGTTGTGTAAAGTGTAGTGTACACCGTAGTTGATAGTAGTGTAGTGCATAGTGTAGTGTGTTGTAGTGTATAGTAGTGTAGTAGTATATATTAGTTTAGTAGTGTATAGTTTAGTAGTAGTATTTCTTGTAGCATAGCATAAATAAATATATATTAGTGTGTAGTGCAGTAGTATAATTAGTAGTCTTCTTTTTCGTATGGATGCGAAGCAGCAGCTTAAATATGTAATTTAGATTAGTTATCGACTCACTTGTTTGATCAGATGCAGAGTTGATCTTGTCCTGCTCCTCCTTTAAAGGAGTGAAGACATCACCTGTCTAATGTGATCCATCGTTTGGCATTGGTGGCTCCACTCGCAGGCAACCAAATATTTGATGGCACCATTTGTCCATCAGGTGGCCGCATCAGTTCATGATCGACCATTGGCGGAATGAAAGGGTGAAACAACGGGAAAGTTTCGAAGGCAGGGTCCTGTACGAGACGTTTATTTTTGACGTCGACCACAGTCCAGACTGGCTTCCATCTTTCGCCTTCATTTATATTTGTGGCGTGGAGTGAGGCTGCTCAGATCCAGAATGGGTGACGTGATTCTTGGTGAAGAGGCAGCACTGGGTGTATGTCCCGATGTATCGGAAGGTGCGGCGGGTTAACGAGAATGTTTTAGTACTCGTTGATGGCCGCTGCTTCGCGACAGATTTGCGGCGGAGTGACGTGGGGTGAGCACCGGTGTAACAGGCCGTAGTATACCCCCAGACCGTAGTATACCCGCGGGGTTAAAACGGCCTAGGCTAGATAATACTCTGGGGTATATTATGGCCTAGGCCAAATCATACCCCCATGATAGTAATAGTGTTGACCGATATATATATGAATTACTAAATTTTTCCAACATTTTATTTAAAACTGTAAACACATAGACTTTGATTGCTTCAACCAGAAAAACTTTAATAATAATAACCCTAACCCTATCCCTAACCTTATCCTTATCCCTAACCCTATCCCTAACCATAACCCTAAAAATGCTTCAATTGATCAAATTGAGATTCTTACTTCCATTGATACGCTTTTTAGATATCGATTGAAGTTCGTTTGTACTTTCACATGGGGAATATTCTGGCCTGGAGGTGTATGGTCTGGCCCAGTCTAGTTTAAACCCCCGGGGGGTAATGTTTAACCTAGGACACTTTATCCCCCCGGGTATACTCTGGCCTGGCTAAACTACACCCGGGTTTAATCGGGTAAGGGGTTATTTTAGCCTGTTACACCGGGATCCACTGGGTCAGCGTTGACTTCAGTGTACCTGAGATGAAAATCCCATGGACAGCCAAAACCACCAATACACAAGTTCTGCAAGATATGGGCACTGACAGGCAACTGCTGAAGACCATCATTAGCAGGAAGTGTTACTACCTAGGCCACATTGCCCGAAACGACCACAAATACCAGCTATTAAAGCAAATCCTGGAAGGAAAAATCGAAGGGAAAAAACGACCAGGACGGCCAAAAACGACATGGCTCACTCAGTAACATCAAAACATGGCTACAATTAACAACAGCAGCACAAACTCTACACGCCGTGCTAGACCGGGACCAATATCATCGTGAAGTCGCACACGCCGTTAGGCAGCACTAAAGAAGAAGAATAACTCGAGTGCGAGCATTGCTTCCCCACACTGGTGAGCAATAGTCTCCCGTCGAATGCACGAGGTCGAGTGTGGCAGTCCATGGTGTTTGCGCATCACAGCCACAACTAGTTCCTGCCGGTTTATGGATAATGTTCGTGCGGGTTTTTATTTTGTTGCCCAACTGCTCAATGTGATCCAGCACCACTCCACGCATTTCGGGAGTGGGTCGTGGGTGACGGTTTTACCACAAAACTCGATCTTCAGCGTACTTTTTGCGTCTGCGTTGTTGAGATGGAATCCTGAGGACACTGTCTTGGTCATATTTGGCTTACGTCACCAGGAGTAGAAATCATCTTCCAAATTCTCCAGGTCAGTGTTCAAGATGTCTTGAGTGGCGCTGAGTGTCGTCGCCCGGCTGGCCAGTGCTAGGTCATCTGCATAAATTAACTTGCGGTTTAATGTGGCCAGCATGTCACTGGTGTAAATATGAAATGGGGCTGGTGCTAATACCGACCCGTGCAGTTGGCAATTTTTTTGAGTTCGTGGGTCGCTGAACTGGTTTCCAAGATGGATGCGAAATTGTCAGTCGCTGAGCATAGTGGTGATCAAGCAAGCCGTTCTTTCACACTTGATGGTGTTGGCGAGTTTAAAGAGCTACACTGAACGCATTTCTAAATCATCTCACCTCGCAAAACCCATCCATCCAGTTCACAATGGAAGTGGAAGCTTACAGAACTCTACCATTTTTGGATATTCTGCTCAGACGGGGTCGTAATGTTAAAATAACACGCAGTGTTTACCGAGATAAAACGCATACTGACGCCTATCTGAATGCAGAGTCACACCATCATCCCGCCCAGAAATCTGCTCTCATCAAGACTCTCGTTCATCGGGCTAAGAAAGTGTCAGATGGTGATAGTCTGAGAAGTGAAATAAAACATGTTAAAGAAGCACTACAATTGAACGGTTACAATGATGCACAAATCAACAGGGCATGGAATGCCAAAACCAAATCAAATAACATGAACATTGAAACTGCCCAAGTAATAAAAATGATGAAAATACCTTCTTGGTTCTTTCGGTAAAGTCACGTAGAAGGGAAGTAATAAAATAATAAAAATAAAACATAATAAAATAAAATATTATATTATTTTATATTATTATATTATTTTATATTATATTATTTTATTTTATTATGTTTTATTTTTATTATTTTATTACTTCCCTTCTACGTGACTTTACCGAAAGAACCAAGAAGATGAATCCCTGCAGTCACGAAAGCTTTAAATCGAGATAAAAATACCGTACATTGCGAGAGTAACTGGTAAACTAACCAGATGTTTGGAAAAAAAACAAAACATCCGTGTCGGGTTTGGCATGGTACATAAAATACAGAAATTCATATCTGGTACAAAATATGCATTATCGAAGCTATCAACAGAAGATACGTACCGGACTAATTGTACTTGTGGCAAATGCTATGTCGGGCAAACAGGACGAATGATCAGCACGAGACAAAAAGAACACCAAATAAATATTAAATACTCCCAAATACAACTGTCAGCAGTAGCAGAACACGCGTGCCCACAAGGACACTCCATTGATTTTGATGTTGAAGTTACGTGCAAAACTAGTTACTACTGGTCAAGACTAATTGTAGAATCTATAGAAATTGAAAGAAATACAAAAAATTGTAACCGTTCGGATAGCTACCGACTTATTGTTGCGTGGAAGCGAATAATCAAATCAGACATTGTTTAAATGCATGCCTATACAGGCTACCATACTTCAATAGGGATTACCCTTGGTATGGCTATTTTAATAGAGGAAGGACTAGTTTAGTAACTAGTGTAGTTAGCCTGGCGGTCACCACCATAGGTTGTTATTCTGTTAAGGGGGAAAGTTACCCCGTGTGTTGGAACTGAATAAATGTGTTGCCTCCAAGTCTACTTTTGCGACTCAGTTGAACCCATTACATATAGGTTAGTAGTGTATAGTAGTGTAGTGTGTAGTAGTATATAGTAGTGCAGTGTGTAGTATATATCAGTGTAATAGTATATAGTAGTGCAGTGTGTAGTAGTATATAGTAGTGTAGTAGTGTATAGTATTACTTGTGTTGGACATGAAGAAAAAAACATGCTCTGGTAATATGTGGCATTGTCGATTTAAAGCTTTCGTGACTGCAGGGATTAATCTTCTTGGTTCTTTCGGTAAAGTAACGTAGAAGGGAAATAATTAAATAATAAAAATAAACATAATAAAATAAAATTCTCACGACGTTTCGGCTGCTTGTGTTGTGGCCGAAACGTCGTGACAATTCTATTTTATTATGTTTTATTTTTATTATTTTATTATTTCCCTTCTACGTGACTTTACCAAAAGAACCAAGAAGATTTGGCATTGTTTTTGAAAATGGTTGGTCCACAAACAGAGACAGCTTTCTCTAGAGCCAACCAGTGTTAGATCAGACGAGGCCAAAAGGCGAACAGCACTGGTCTACCACTGGTTGAGACAAGTACTGTGTGTGGTTAATGCAGACTTGATTCATTGCAAAATTCCTGTTTGTTGTTTTAACATCTTAACACCTCCTGTTGTATTGTCAGAATGGGTACAACCTATTTTTATGTAGTGTGTAGTGTAGTATATATATGTGTGTGAGTATGTAGAACTAACCGCTCTGTGTCACCCCCACACAGAGGAGGAGTTGACCATCTTGTGTTATGTTGGCGTCTTGGCACTCGGAGGAGGTAAGCGATGACGTCACCACGCCTCCACGTGACGACGGTGTGTGATGGTGATGCTGTATGATGCTGTGTGTGATGGTGATCGTCTGTGATGCTGTGTGTGATGGTGTGTGATGGTGATCGTCTGTGATGCTGTGTGTGATGGTGATGCTGTGTGATGCTGTGTGATGGTGATGTTGTTCGTGATGCTGTGTGATGGTGATGCTGTGTGATGGTGATGCTGTATGATGCTGTGTGATGGTGATGTTGTTCGTGATGCTGTGTGATGGTGATGCTGTATGATGGTGATGCTGTATGATGCTGTGTGATGGTGATGTTGTTCGTGATGCTGTGTGATGGTGATGCTGTGTGATGGTGATGCTGTATGATGCTGTATGATGCTGTGTGATGGTGATGTTGTTCGTGATGCTGTGTGATGGTGATGCTGTATGATGCTGTGTGATGGTGATGTTGTTCGTGATGCTGTGTGATGGTGATGCTGTGTGATGGTGATGCTGTGTGATGGTGATGTTGTTCGTGATGCTGTGTGATGGTGATGCTGTATGATGATGTGTGATGGTGATGTTGTTCGTGATGCTGTGTGATGGTGATGCTGTGTGATGGTGATGCTGTATGATGCTGTATGATGCTGTGTGATGGTGATGTTGTTCGTGATGCTGTGTGATGGTGATGCTGTATGATGCTGTGTGATGGTGATATTGTTCGTGATGCTGTGTGATGGTGATGCTGTGTGTAATGCTGTGTGATGGTGATGCTGTTCGTGATGCTGTGTATGATGGTGATGCTGTGTGATGGTGATGCTGTGTGTAATGCTGTGTGATGGTGATGCTGTTCGTGATGCTGTGTATGATGGTGATGCTGTGTGTAATGTTGTGTGATGATGATGCTGTGTGTGATGGTGATGCGGTGTGATGCTGTATGTAATGCGGTGTGTGATGGTGATGCTGTGTGATGGTGATGCGGTGTGATGCAGTGTGATGCTGTGTGTAGTGTGTGGTTGTGTGTAATGCTGTGTGTGGCTGTGTGATGCTGTGTGACGCTATGTGTGGCTGTATGTGATGCTGTGGGTGATGTGAGTGAGGCTGTGTGTGATGCTGTGATGGTGATGCTGCTGCGACGCCATACATCCATCACAGACATAATTTCAACCGTGATGACGGTTACAAACTGAGTAATCATTGGAAAGATGTGATTAACCATGCAAAAACGATTTAACTACACTTATTTGCCAATCTTATTTGACAGACAACCATCACAGTTTTACCATGTTTAGTGGTGGTTTCCCTGTCACAGGTTGAGTCACAAACCGCACCTCTCCATAACAAAAGCTCAGTCTTTTGTTATGCAGTCTATTCTTAGTCTTAAGCCTCACCTTACCATATTAATAAAAAGTATGCGGCCCTTGCCCCACCACCTTCTCCAACCATTATATAAACGGAGTGGTAGCTCCTGCAATCTCTCATTCACTTGATACAGCTGTCGTGGCTGTGACGGTTCCACCTGAAGACGGAAGCTTGTGTTGCCTCCGAAACGTCGTGATTTTTATTTTATTTTACTTTTTAATGTTTTTACCTACACGGTGACTTTACCGAAAAAACCTAAGAACATACATCCACGTGTTCATTTGTGTGATGGTGTTTTTGTTATCATCATCGATGTTGTCGGCTCGCCTCCTCCCTCCTCACTGTTGTTATCTTTGCTGTTGTTCCCATTTTTGATGTTGTTGTGAGCCAGTGGGCGCAGTTGTTGTGGTCACTTGGGTAATAGGCGCCATGGGCTTCACCGCCGAAGGGATCGCCGCCGGCTCCATGGCCGCCTGGCTCATGGCGCGGGAAGCGGCAGCCAACGGAGGAGGGGTGGTGGACGGAGGGGTCGTGGCCACGCTGCAGTCCATCGGTACGGAGGCGCAGGGCCTTGGAGTGAAGGGCTTCTGGCCAGGGCTGTTAGGGGGCAAGTGCTGTGAGTAGTAGCGAGTAGAGGAGACGCAGAGACAAAGGCACTCCCAGGTAGCCTCTAGCAGGGATGTAGTGGCAAGTGCTGTTGTAGTAGCGAGTAGAGGAAAGACAGAGACAATGTCACTCCCAGGTAGCCTCTAGCAGGGATGTAGTGGCAAGTGCTGTTGTAGTAGCGAGTAGAGGAAAGACAGAGACAATGTCACTCCCAGGTAGCCTCTAGCAGGGATGTAGTGGCAAGTGCTGTTGTAGTAGCGAGTAGAGGAAAGACAGAGACAATGTCACTCCCAGGTAGCCTCTAGCAGGGATGTAGCGGCAAGTGCTGTTGTAGTAGCGAGTAGAGGAAAGACAGAGACAATGTCACTCCCAGGTAGCCTCTAGCAGGGATGTAGCGGCAAGTGCTGTTGTAGTAGCGAGTAGAGGAAAGACAGAGACAAAGGCACTCCTAGGTAGCCTCGATCAAGACGTAGCCTTGCCTGCCGGAGGAGCTCACTGATAGGACTTAGTCGAGATATTTCAAGGTTTTGTGAGCTCCTGACACAATCCATCCTGGTTAAACCCGGGATGGATCGTAGACAGGACAGCCAGAACTTTTCTAATCGGTGAAGATGTTCTATTAGGCAAGTCCACGTTTCGCAAGTGTAGAGAAGGGAGGGCATGACCGTGGCCGAGAAGACCTGAAGCTTTGGGTGGAGCGACAGACCAGGTAGCTTCCACGCAGCGTTACATAGCTGATGAAAAGATATTGCCGACGACTAATTCGGAGTGAGACCTCTGCTGTCAAACCAAAGCTGGTCATAAGCACACTGCCCAGGTATGTAAAACTCTCCACACTCTTCACAACTGCCCATCACTAATGTGGAGTTTAGGTGGTAGAGTTTTTGATGGTACAAAATACCCAGGCAGGTGCTTAGTTTTTGTGAGGCTGATGACAAGACCACACCCCTTAGTGGCATGCTCCAGGTCTAGCAGCAGCACCTCTAACTACTCCTCTGACTGAACAGCAATCACCAAAACATCATTGGCATACGTAACATGGTGGACCAATAGGGACCCATCTCTAGACTGCACCTGGGCATTGATCAGCCTCCCATTGCATTTGTACCAGATGGAAATTCCTCCAGAACAGCCCTGGAAGGCTTCTCGAATTACGTTTTCGAAAAGATGTTGTGCACCCCAAGGTGAACAAGGAATGGCTCCAATTCCCAGGCACATAGCTTGAACCGGGCCTTCCCAACATCATGAAGGTCCTTAATGATTGTGAGCAGAGAATTAGGGACTCCAACAGCACGAAGAACAACCCACAGCCCAGGTCTATTGATGGCATCATAGGCCTTGACCAGGTCAATAAAGCAGAGATGTAGGTCTTGTTGGAATTCCCTAAACCTCTAATGTAGAAAACGAACAGAAAACATGGCATCTGTACAGGACCATCCTGGCCCACAACCACATCGGAGCTCTGCAGGCCTTTCAGCGTGCCTGGCAAGGCGATGTTGAATAATCCTTGCCAGGACCTTGTGCGGTCCCCCTTATTAACGAATGGGACCACCAGGGCATCATTAAAATCCTGTGGAACCCGTCAAGTGGTCCAAGCTGTTAATATGATGTCACGCAGGGTGGTTTGCACACAAACCCCACATTCCCTCAGCATTTTGCTTGGGATATCATCTCTTCCCAGCGCTCTTTCTGGTTTCAGACTAAAGATCGCCTTCTGTACTTCCTCAAAAGGATTGCACCTCAGCTAGACACTCACAGGGGGTGACTACTTTTACAATATTTGAGGCACAGCATGCTCAGCAGGGTCATCCCCACTTTGTCCCATGATGTTTTCTGGACTGAAGGATTTCCCTTCTCCCAGGATCTCACAGAAATGTTCAGCAAACCTGCAACCTTGTTCCTGGTGGCCGGAGATCAGATCGCTGTTCAGTTCTTTAAGGATAGTGATAGGTGTGGTACTGCAAGTTATTTTTTGATGGAGTTAAGGAGTGATTTATGATCACAGGCTACTGAGGCAGAGCTCATCTTCTCAGAAACCCACGATCACCACTCATCCTTGCGGCGTCGCATGGCTCTCCGAACCTCTGAGCGAAAGCTGTGGTAAGCCTCCTCATTCTCCGACGTGGGATGCTTTAGACAGTAGGTGTGGGCCTGTTGCTTTTTCTCAGCCAGCCGCAATACTTCCTCCATCAGCCAGGGTCTCTATGGAGGTCTGGACCGTGTACCCTAAGTAGCCATTGCAGCTGCATGAACTACAGTCGTAAACCTTGCCCATTACCCATTGGCTTCAGGAGAAGGGGGCATGATGCAAACCCCAGCTGCAAGCGATGATGACATTTTCGCTTCTAACTTTCATCAGCTAGCTAAGACCAGATCACTGTGGGTTTGAATGGGGTCCTAGATGGACACCCACCACCAGAGTGGAAGAATTGCAGGTGCATCTTACAGTTGACAAGCCGATGGTCAGTGGACATATCAGCTCCACGGTAGGACCTGGTGTCAAGGACATGGGTCAGCATCTACTGTTCTGTCACTATATAGTCCAGCAGATGTTCTTGCTTGGACCTGTTGTGCATCCATGATGTTGTGTGGATGTGTTGTTGCCAGATCAGCCCCCTACTGTTGTTATTGAGCTGATTTGGCACATGCCTTCCAATCACTCCAGCCCAGGTGCCACTCGAACATTAACATCACCCAACAGGATGACTCTATCCCGAGGGGCCATTTTAGCTAGCACCTGTGACAGGAGATCATAGATGGCATCTGACTCATCAGTCATGCCTGCATCCTTCCTCTGATGTTCATCTCCGCTGGGGGCGTAAGCAACTACTACCACCATTCCTCATCTCTTTTTGATCGGGAGGTAAGTCCACAGTAGCCTGGGGCTTACAGCTTCCCACACATCACTGCCATGGTCCCACACCACACTGATTATTTTATTCAGAAGAAGAGCCACTCCCAGTTGTTTGGCAGTCTCCTGTCTTAAGTAGAAGACTGCCACTCCTCATGGTGACTGGACTTTCTGAATGCTGTATAGATCCAGGCAGTACTTGTCCAGCTCCTGAAAGAGGAGTGGCAACCTCTCTTTCGCAGTGAGTGTTCGAACATTCTACATGGCCACCGTCAGTGGGTTTTTGTCGTTTCTGGAGGAACCCCGAGGGTGCCGGGATCAGTCTCCTGGCTCCGTCAAATGGGGTTTGGCCAGGAGACATCTTGGACAACAGTCCCCCCAGGGGCCTCCAGCACAAGCTTAGCTAGATATTATCCCGTGTGTTTGTGGAACTTGAATTGAAGGTGGAGGTGGTACCAGCATCTTGCACCTGTCCGGAGCCCCCATTAGCCGCTGTGGTGGCTATAATTGCCATGAGGGGTATTGCCGATTTTGGGATTGGCCATTCCCCCATGCTCACCACAGCATTGCCGTCCGGCACAGAGGACGTAGGGAGTTGTTTTTGCCGGAATACCCACACACTCAGAGACGCATACAAAGGTCCCCCAGATAGCCTCTAGTTGGTCAATAGGGCAAGTGCTGTTAGTAGTAGCGAATAGAGTAGACACAGAGACAAAGGTACCCCCAGGTAGCCTCGAGCAGGGATGTAAGGTGGTAAGTGCTGTTAGTAGTAGAGAGTAGTGGATTCGACACAAAGGCAAAGGTACCCCAGGTAGCCTCTAGTAGGGCTATAGGGACAAGTGCTGTTAGCAATAGCGAGTAGATTAGACACACAGACAATGGTACTCCCAAGTAGCCTCTAGCAGGGCTGCAAGGGCAAGTCCTGGCTATTGTACACCTTTACAAAGGTAACCCCAGGTAGCCTCTCGTAGGGCTGTAGGGGCAAGTTCTTGCTAATGTACACACACTCAGAGACACAAAGGTCCCCCAGGTAGCCTCTGGATTTCCGCGGTGGCGAGATGTTAACTCTCCCCCCCCTCCTTTCCGTCCTCCCCCCTTTCTCCTCTCTATCCGTTCCTCGCTTCACCCCCTCCTCCTCCCCCTCCACCCCCCCTGTCCCTCTGCTACCCTGCCCCCTCTCTCTCCCCCCCTGCCCCTCCCCTCCTCCTGCCCCCTGTAGGAGTTGCTGGGCTGAGTATTCCATCTAAGATCATCGTGTGGACAGCCGGAGTAGCCATCACCAAGGTGGTGGTGGACCTCTGTTGTTGCGTCTTGAAACATTTATAAAAAAAATTTAAATTTAAATGAAGATTGGGAAATTGCGTAATTATCGGAAATTATGCTAATTAGTGCAATTATGCGTATCAATTATGCTAATTAGGGATGTGATCATATTTGGTTATGTGAAATTATTCCATTATGCTAATGTATACAGTTCTTATAATTAAGATTATTATGCATGATCTCAGGAAGACACCACTCAGATACTTCTGTGTTAAGCAATTAAAATTCAAAACAAAAACATAACACTCGAATATGCGAACTCTTAAGCTTGGAATTGTCAACACAGTACCACTGGGGATGTTCTCATTGATCCGTACATTTAACCCTCAATGATCACGTTGTTAAACTGGGTAACCGAACAATTGATTAATTCCTCAAAGTAAGGCGAGCATATACGGTGATAGGAAAAAGTTCTTAAACGACGACATTCATACGAATGGCAATTTTTTAAAATTATATCCCGAAGGCAAAAGTATACGTCAATAGATTCATCGGCAGGATTATATTATTAACGAAATGTCTTGGAACAATGGTGTGCGGCAATATGCCTGCTTCCGCAGATGCTTATCTTTTGGCTAAGGCTTCAATTAATTCGTGGGCAAGATTCTGTGATCAAAAGAATGGTTGAACACAATATTCTCCCTGTGAGCGTGTAGATTCGTAACGAAGGTTTCAAACGTTTAGTTTACATCGATGAATCTATTGGTATTTTGTATGCAATTAAAAAGAAAATTACCGACTAATGTACTGTAATTCTAGATTTTAAGCTTTCGTGACTGCAAAGATTCATATTCTTAGGTTTTTTTTCGGTTAAGTCACGTAAGTAAAACATCAAAATAAAAAAATAAAAAATAAAAATCACGACGTTTCGGAGGCAACACAAGTCTCCGTCATCAGGTGGGACCGTCACAGCCGGATTAGCTGCATCAAGTGAGGCAATGATTCAAGATGTAATCCCTTAAAAAGGCAAGTTGAGGGGGAGGAGAGGGGGGGGGCTCATCAGAATGTGGTAGCCAATGAATGGAACGCATCGGGAGGGGGAGGGGGGGGGCAAAAGAATGCGCGTCGGCGTGGACGCTGTTGGTGTCTCGCACCCCCAGGGTGTGCGTGCTGCACCCCAGACTAAGAAGAGCCACTGGGCTTAGAGTGTGGAGCTGCCTGTGCCGGTTACCAACAGCGTGGCCGCTATTGGTACCAGAGCACTTGACGCCGTCTGGCTTCACGGTCCACCAACCCTCACCCACGATGCCCGAGTGCTGAGCGGCCCAGCCACTCAAGTAGAGGATGTCCGTGCACTGACAGTCCCAGGGGTGTGGAGCGGAATGATCTATAACTCTGCACATAAAGCACTCAGCCTGACTAGAACAACAACAACAACAACCTGCAGCTTCCACTCCTCCATTAGAACAACGCCCACCTCTTGTCTCCGAGACCTGCATCTTCATCATCACCACCTCTGCCACCCAACTATGAGCAGGCCTACCCCTAATCCTGCCTCAACCCCATCACTACAGCTATCACCATCACTACCTCTACCCATATCACTTTCCCTATCACTATCCCTATCTCTACTCCAACGCTTATCACCACCCCGAACACCATTACTACCCCTATCACAGTAACTACCCCAATCACTACCACTACACCATCCCCTATCTCTACACCATCCCCTATTACTACACCTACCCCTATCACTAGACCTAACCCCTATAACTACCCCTACTCCAATCACTACATCTATCACCATCACTACCCCTATCACTACACCTACCCCTAATCCTATCTCAACCCCCATCACTACACTGCACGTCGGCGTGGACGCTGTTGGTTTTGCACAACGCAACGGGAGGGGGAGGAGGGGCGGGGCCAAAGAATGCACGATGGCATGGGTGCTGTTGGTGTTGCACAACGCCAACGCATTAGACAGAGAGGGGGAGGCCTGATACACATGATAGAAAAAAAGAACGAAAATGTCCATGTTTATACCAATTCTGGCTGAACAATGAAGAGAGTACTGTTAAACACTCGGTAAAGTAAAGTAAGATAGTGCCTGTCAGATAAGATGGTCCAAAAAAGTGTAATTAAGTCTTTTTTGCGTGGTTGATAACATCTTTCCAATGATTACTAAGTTTGTACCCCTCATCACGGTTGAAATTATGTCTGTGTTTGTATATTTGTATGGCTTCGTGTACAAACCTTTGATGGTAGCCGGGAGGTTTGCAGAGAACCTTGGTCTCGGAAAAGACAATTTCATGAGAGCCCGCCGAGTTGTAGCAATGATCGGCAACGGCCGATGTACTGTACTTATAAACGACCGGATTCATATCACTCAATGAGCACCAATGTCTTCATGATCAGCTAATGGTTTATGCACTCTTATAATTGGTCTTCTTATTATCAGTCCGGGTATGTGTTTATGTATGTGTTGGTGGATTGTTTCCTTGATACATTCTTTGTGTTAAGCAGACGCCGGGTGATGCGTCGTGAGTTTGTGAGGATGGGGGAGGGGCATACAAACAGCTTGTTGCACATTCCTTCCCTTTATTAATGCTTTTTATGACTTTAAACCCCCCGCAAAACTTCCTACGCATTTCACAAGTAGTACTAATCGTATATTTGCATTTCCCATAAATATGCTAAAATTCCTCTTGATATGCAAATTATTTTGTCAAGGCGCCCTTCCCCCCTCCATCACAGCTTAAATAGACGCTCCAAGCCTGGGGTGTGTCATTCAGACTCTGTCTTCTCGACAGACCTGTTCTTCATCTGAGGACGGCTGCTTGTGTTGTGGCCGAAACGTCGTGAGAATTATTTTATTATGTTTATTATTTTATTATTTCCCTTCTACGTGACTTTACCGAAAGAACCAAGACGAAAATAAGTATAACCCGTAAAACTAAGTTTTTCACTATAAATCCTGTATATGTGTGGCAGCGAACTTAATATAAAGGATTTAAAAATGTATTCGCCTGTGGAGGACGCGGGGATCGATCCCGCGACCTTTGGCATGGGAAGCGAGGGCGCTACCAACTGTGCTACTCCGCCACGGCCTGTGGAGGGGTTACGCTCTGGTCTCTTACACTCTGACGTTCAGCCAAAGCCATGAATGAGTTCTATTTGAATATATGTAAAATACATTTTTTTTGCCTAAAAAGTGTACAATTTTGGGAATTTTTTTTCACGAACATTGTCACGCACAACGAGTCTGTGTGGAAAATGTCAGCTCGATTGGATCACGGGAAGTGGGTTAAAAAACGACCGAAAGATTTGCACGGTCCTAAGCAAGCAAGCAAGCACGCAAGCGAACTTAATATAAAGGATTTTAAAAAAAGCTTGTTGCTCACTCGCTCGGCGGAAGCCATGGTTACTAATTAACGTGACGGGAACAGACAGGGTCACGTTAGGGTAATTTGGGACCTAAGTGGTCGTAAATTGTAATTAGGACAGAGACAGACAGAGACATGTGCGGTGAGAGAGTGTTCGGGAAGAGGGGCGTTGCAGGGTCGTGAGGGGGATAAAAGCCGGCGTGGAACAGGGCTCTGGGCTGCTGTTGTGGGAGAACCAAGGGACTGCCGTTGCCGTCGTCATCTTGGAGCGGGTCGTCTTCATCGCCCTGGAACGGGCACCTTGTAGTCTTGGAAGTCGAGAGTTATATTGTCTCCGTGACTGCCACGCGTCGCTCCTGTGTAGCCAGCCAGCTACACAGGGAGCGTCGCGTAGAGTCACAAAAGTTACCCAAGTGTATATAGTCAAATTTCGATTTAAAGCTTTCGTGACTGCACGAGGCGCTCTTCCCCAAGCTTGGTGGTGCCCATTCAGACGCTGTCTTTCCGACAGACCTGTTCTTCACCTGAGGACGGCTGCTTGCGTTGTGGCCGAAACGTCGTGAGAATTATTTTGTTTTATTTGTATTATTTTATTATTTCCCTTCTACGTGACTTTACCGAAAGAACCAAGAAGATGTATTTAGTCACTCGCGGTTACACGTTAAGTTATCAGTGAGTCGGTGGACTTTATTCACAATAACAGATTCGTGATGGATGTCGTGATGCTGATAACGACACCCACATATGGCACTTGGCACTGACCACGTGACACGTCACTTCCCGTCGCCTGATGAACGTTAATGAATAAATGTCAAACACACAACTGCTTGCCGATCGATCTATCAATTGATTTCATCGACGGCCAATCTCCTTGATTGAAATCACGGAGCGCATTCATAGCGAGACGTGGAACTGTAGCGTCATCACTTCCCTTCGTTATCGACGCACTGCTCGCGTTGGTCACCCTGTGATGGGTTCAGTGCGTTAGTGAACTGACTGTTCAGGGTGCCAATGAACTGGCGGTTCACTCATGGCGATCATCAACAATAGAGCTGTGGGCGACAGCAGTGATGGTGGTGGTGATTATAAGATTCTACCATCTGATGTCAGCTGGGATTGCAGTGTTGTTGGTTTGAGGTCAGTGCCACGTGGCTTCTCATGGCGTCTGGGCCTTGCTCTACTGTGACGTGAGTGCCACGTGGTTTCTCGTTTGGTCGTGGTGGTGAAAGAGAACCAACTTGGACTGGAGACAAGGACTCCTTTATCATCACCATCAGCTGCAGCATCAACAATCTGTTTATATCTTCTTGGTTCTTTCGGTAAAGTCACGGAGAAGGGAAGTAATAAAATAATAAAAATAAAACATAATAAAATAATTCTCACGACGTTTCGGCCACAACGCAAGCAGCCGTCCTCAGGTGAAGAACAGGTCTGTCGATAAGACAGAGTCTGAATGACGCGTCCTAGGCTTGGAGCGTCTATTTAAGCCTAGGACGTGTCATTCAGACTCTGTCTTATCGACAGAAATGTTCTTCACCTGAGGACGGCTGCTTGCGTTGTGGCCGAAACGTCGTGAGAATTATTGTATTATGTTTTATTTTTATTATTTTATTACTTCCCTTCTACGTGACTTTACCGAAAGAACCGAGAAGATGAATCCCTGCAGTCACGAAAGCTTTGAATCGAATCTGCTTATGATATAATAATGAGGCGCTGTTATATAAAAATCTGCATTCAGAATGAGAATCAGGCACTGCTATATATAAATGTATTTGTGATTTCAGAAGAAGGCACTGCTAAATATAAATCTATATAATATATAAGAATAAGGCACTGCTATATATGAATCTATACAAGGTATTAGATTATCATTCTCCAGCCAACTGCGCCTGTTCAGACATTCTGTACCTCAGCCGCTGGATCTCTCGAAACCTCGCAGCCGTGAGGGATACCAATTACAAGACAGACCCCGACCAGCCGCGTTGCTCTGGTACCAATAGCGGATGTCCACTCACTCGGCACGGCAGCGAGCGGACAGCGCGGTGAGAGCCTCGACTGAGCTCGCAGTGCGGGGAGTCCTGGAGTGGTCACAGCAGCAGCTGGAAAACATTTTGAGTGCCAATATCTTATCTCTGTCAGTCTTTTTTACGTACAAGTCTCGATGTTGTTCTTTAAGATGCTCAGTGTTGTGTCTTGGTGCTTAAGATTTGCTTGCTTCTCCAGATGTTAGTGAATGCTGCCACTATCTGCTTTCGCCTTAAGAGATCTTCGCTTTTTACTTCTCCCATTCAGTCGTTGTCCCATGAAAGGAGACTTCCCAAGTATGCCAGGTAAGTCCCACTGAGCTATAATCCTCTTTGTGAGACGCGACCTTGCGGGTAACGGGTGTATAACAAAATCGCTGGTCACCCCACCCTTGAGCGAGTGCCTGTGGCCTGTGCACGATCTGTCATGAGTCTTCGGATGCTTTCAGATCAGGTCATGGATAGCGTAACACCTCCACCGCACCGCCTAAGTCTGCCTGGGGTCAAGGGCCAGCGACCCTTGAACCCTCTTCTCAGTTGCCACAAGAATCAAAGCCAAGCCTCCACAGGACGGATCAAAACAGAAACGAACTGCGTCTGCCCACCGACTATGAGACGAGG